GTTGTGGAGAGAGATTTAAGTAAGTGGTTAACTATTCTAATGATAAGCCTTTTACATATACAGGGTGTCCCAAAAAAAATGAAAACTATTGAAATCATCCATAACAATGCCATTGTTAGAGTTTGAATGCCTAAGCACCCTGTTGGACCCACAAGTGTATAAATCGGGGTTGCCATAAGAATTTTTATGTATGTATATGATGCAGTCAAATTTGCTAGTTCGCAAAAATGATATTTACTAACAATATTTACAATTTACGAATATGGATAACATTATTTAAATGTGCATCTCAAGGACCATGACCTTCGACATGTCCCCTTTCTCTAGCAACACAAAGCATTTAGCATTTTATAAGTTGCATTAAATCCCCACGGGCTGAAATTCGTGAACACAGCATTCAAATTTTAACAATGAGTGATTTCAATAGTTTTCGTTTTTTTTGGGACACCCTGTATTTCATAGACAATATAAGCATTAGAGTCTTAGTTACCTGTTCAATTTGAGTTGCATGTTTTATTCACAGCATCTGCACATCCTTTCCAGAATTCTGGGTCCTTTGTTGAAGGCCACTTTTTAGTCCAAGCATCTTTCCAATATAAACATATATATTGGACAAGAGAGGTTGTTTCACTGTCTGACCATGGGGCAGGCTTTTTACTCAAACTGGTAGATTCTTCCTGTGAAAACAGGCTTTTCCTTGAGCTAGGTCGAGGATAAGTTGGTATCTTATTACTTGGTTTACCAGGACTATCTCCGACTGCAAAGTGAAAAGGTTTCTTACGGTTATCCGAAAGGATAAAAGTTCTGAATAAAGCAGCAACTAAACATCATAAATGTATACACTGAACTAGAAAAAACAAGCCACTGAGCCTTATTCATAGTACATATTGACTCAAACAAAAAGTAGTCTCTAATTCGGAAGCTGTAAATTCACATATATAACACATTTCTGTGACAAAAGATAATAATTTAAACAAAAAATACATAAGCTTTTTAGTTGTAACATTATAATGCAAAGAAAATAACATTTACAGTTGAAAACAAAGCAATCAACTTACTTTATTTTAAAGCTTCGTCCACCATCAACGCATGCAGGTAATTTACATACTAGAATGCTTTGCGGTTGTATAGCGCGCACCACCTGGTTTATGTGGATACACAGGTACATGTGGTATGGGGTCGTTTGTAATTTGAGGAAGAGGCCAGTTGAGAAGTTTTGGTTGATGTGATTGCCACTTCCTGAACGTGTTAATTAAGAGCCTGTTGGTATGATTCCGCTTCACAAGCAAAGTATTTTAATTAACCACCTTGAAGTTTTTCAAACGTTTTTAAGTAGATTTAGTGAAATGGATTTTGATATTTTCAAGTTCAAAGACTTCGTAAACACCGCAACAGCAAAGGCAATATCAGAGAGAAGACATACTCTACTGAAGCTTATAGATGGCGATATTTTCTATTGGCTGACTTTGTGGCCGCAAGACATGAAATTAATATTTTGGAAAAAACCTATTTGCGACGTGGAATGTTTTAAGTTATTACTGTTTCTTGTGAGAAATGGGTGTCCACCTTGTTTCGCTGCAGAATGGATAGTGACATCGTGTGATTGGGAGCAAAACAAGACTGTTTGCCGGCTTAATCAAACTAAGTGGATTTTATTTCAGTGGAATAGTCATTCGAAGAAATGGTTTTATTTTGACATGAGTTTTAATAAATATGTTTTCTTGGATGGCAGTGACCACACATCACAGACATGAAATAACTGTATTCAAATGAATGATGAACATAATTTATTCATATCCTTACTGTTTTTCAGCAATAGATTGGGGTAGTGAGTAGCCAATTATATATATTGTAGAACCTCCAACTTGGTTCCTGCCGTACTAATACGCATTTAAACCTGGATTCAGGGGACTGTATCTTTCTTGATTGTAATATTTATTAGATTGATTTGATTAGCTATTTACACAAGTTTAACACGTCTCGTTCACCGATCTCAAAGCATCTGCCCAAGGCCAACAAATATACGTGGTTTTATCCACCGGTGACAATCACTATATATCGAATTACACTGGATCAACTATTAATTAAACTATATTTCCATAAGTATTCAAAACAACCACAGCTGTATTGAGGAACTACTGGCGCTGCACAGGGAACCTACAACATCTCGCCCACCCTGATTCTCGGGGTGGTGAAGGGTCTCACTTATGCATCAGCATCGCCTTTGTCCTCGATTTCGAAATTTCTGCAGCAGCTCGTCTCGGACGTTCAGCCGACTTTGGCTGTTCCCTTGTGGTCCCAACTGACTTAGCTACAGGGTTACATTTTTCCTCCCCATTACCACCCAGTCTAGTTTGAATCTCTAACGGGTAAAGTTTCTGTACCGGTCGTTTCAGGTGAATTGGCTTCCCCTTTCCTAGGAGTCTAACTCTCGCTCCTCTGACTTCCTTGTCTTCAATCTTCTTCTGTGGCACCTAATGTTGCCTTCATCTTCTATGGCACTAAGTGTTGTGTCAGGATCATAATCTTCATATTCTATGGCATTTGTTCCTTCATGATTATATTCTTCTAAAAATCTATAAATTACAGACATTATTAGAACTTCTATCAAACAAATGGTTTATGATGGTATTCTCCCTGATTATACAGCAATGTTCTCAATCAATAAATTAGAAATTGGATTGCAATGAGGCTACATAAAACAAAATAATACTTGTATTTGTCTCTTACCCATGCACATCATAAATGCACTGATCATCTGCAGATCCACTTTCACATGACTCACTTGAAGACATGGAACTATTATATAAAATAGTACTAAATAATAACACTAAATACAATACAACAGCATATGCCATACAGTATGAATGCAAATATCACGAAGCCTTTGCACGTACGCCCACAAGATCATCCCTGCATTCATCAAACAATTCAAAAAAATCAGGCATGTCTTCATCATCTTCCAAAGAGCTTGCTCTCTTTCTTCACATGTTCACACAAAGCAGATAAAATACCAGAACGCAAAAAAACATTGTAACTCACTTTGCTCTCAACTCCACACCTGCTCTCTAGAACGACACATAAGAGGGAAGAGGATCTAAATTGAAAGATACAATTACCACAACATGCAAAATTAAGAGTAAATGTTCTGCACGGATCTATGCATATATTATTTTAAAGTTGAATTATGAAAAAAAACATAGCTCATAGAACAGAAATTATGTTCTTTATACCTGATCAGTGCTGCATTGAGCAACTTCACTAATGGTAAACTGAGTAGCATCAATATCATTTTGGTTCTCAAAACCACACAATATTTTCTTTAAAGACTTCACATGACAAGATTATTCATATTGCTCAACAAAATCTAAAATACAATGATTAAAATCTAAAACACAATGATTAGGGATTGTCTTTTACTGTGATATTGATATTCTAGTAATTCAATATTTTATTTAGTTTGTAGGATTATGGTGGTATGCTCTTTCTGGTCATATTAATTAATTCAACATAGGATATGGTCCCATAATAATAGCAAACTATTAGAAAAAGAAATATTAACAAGGATTTGGACATGTAGGTAAACTTACCAAGATAATTCATCTCAGCAAGGAATGCCACTCCAGACGTCAAGAACTCTGTGATCCTTTTATTACAAGAGCATGCATAGCACTATTTTGTTCCACATGAAAATTTGTGTGGTCTCCTTGTTACTAAAACTACTTTATAGTAAAAAGTAAAATGACACAAAAAAGCATATGTACAATTTTACAGTTATGTACCAGTATGTTTTATCAATTTTGTCTGAAGTAGTGAAAATAAACATGTCACACTTGATGGTACATTACCAGAAATGTCTTTTCCTTCAAAGAATAATCATGCAGAAGAAAACAAAAAATGCTCAATGTTGTCATGGCATTTTGCCCAATTATTTCCATGCAATAAGAATCAATGTTGGCAACAGCTGATGATCCAACCACAATGCCTGATGATTCATGATCTAGCCAATATCATCGGTTTCCTTATAATTAGTATATATGTATAATTGGGTCATGTATAAAGCTTTATGGCTGTATAATCATAAAATAATTCCTGAAGTTTGTAAAAATAAAATGAAGTTTGGTATTATTTTTTCATTGTGAGTGAAATTATCTGGCCAATGTAGCCAAATTTGGACTAAATGCTAAGGGTTTGTTGCACTTAAAGTAAAGGGATTCATGGTCAGTGATTTTTTCTTATCTTTTAGCATAGGTTTTTTGTTTTGCTATTTATGCCAGATATTTTTTTGCACATTGTGTTTAAGAGAATGATCAAATGTTATAGAATCAAATTCATATATAAACAAAGGATGCAAATATAGCCTTTAATGTGCACCTTAAGTCTGCATAGTCTTATTTCTGCATAGTCTAAAGAGATCAGATTCTCAAACTAGAGGTAGCTTTATTTTTTAGTGGATACACGGATACGCAGTCGTTTAATATTTTAAAGAACGAGGCATACAGTATATTTTAAGAAGATCAGATTCTCAAGCTAGAGGTAGCTTTATTTTTAAGTGGATATGTATGGTGGCCTACGTGTGCCACATTGATTTATTTCGTCAATAATATTTTTCTTTTATTTTTGTCCTTTTCTTTTAATTTATTTTCAGTTTTTCTTTTTTATTCGTTTTCTTTAAATTTGATTTCAGATTGTTTTTGTTTAAAAATTTTTTTAAAAATTAAAAAAAATTGATTTGGAAAAAACGCCGTGGCCCAGGCGTGCCATCGACCCAGACGTGCCATACGTAACCTTTATATTCATGTATTACATGAAGTATTTCAAGAATGAGCGGTTGTTTTAGAAATAAACATGGCGGCCGCAGAATGGAAGAATGACCAAAATTTGAAGCAAGAAATAGAAGACTATGTCAGAAAAAAATAACCAGCGTTTTGAGATATTAGATTTTATGAAAGAAAAATACCCAATGTATCCATGGAGTTTACGTAGTCTTTGCCGCAGAAATGGCTTTCTTTAATAAATATACGAATTACGAAGTTGACGCTGATGAAGTTCGTGAGGCAGTAAGGAAAGAGATGGACGGTCCCGGCCGTTTACTCGGTTACCGTGCATTGCATAGGAAGGTGCGCGAATTGCATAAACTTAACGTACCTAGAAACCTTGTTTATGCAGTAATGAGTGAAATTAATCCTGAAGGGCTCGAAGAAAGGGGCAATGTTGGACAAACAAGACGACCAAAAAGAAACAACTTGTTTGTAGCTGAGGTAAATGTTTGTTTAATGAGGAAAAAGTTAGAACTTAGAAGATCTATAATTGAATGAGTCTTTCCATTCTAGGGTGCTGACTTTACCATGTCTTTGGATGGGCATGACAAGTTGTGTGGATTTCAAAAGTCCATGTTCCCCTTATGTATATATGGAGGGCAAGATACATTTAGTGGGAGAATAAATCTGCTGAGAATCTGGACTACTAACAACAAGCCTGAGGTCATAGGCAGGTTTTATTATGACTATCTTTCCAAGACACAAGGTAAGTTTATGAAATATTATTATTATTTATTTATAAGAATTCACAGCCTCTGATTGGCTAATAGTAATAGCCATGTGTTAAATAGTCATGTCCAACGTGTGATATCATAACGTGAGATAAATGGTTGTATCACACATTATGATGTCAGACCAATGGCCAAGACATCAATGTCCCAAAGGAGGGGAATGTGAAATTGACACAAATTCAAGTGAACAATTGAAAGCTATACTGTTCATTCTTTTAAATAAATAAGAAAACAATTATTGAATTCGGTTTTCACATGATAGAAGAATTATGGAGTTATTGAGCTTGAGATACTGAATTTACAACATACTGTCCCTTTTCAGTTCTTCCTAAAAGAATCTGTGTAGATAAAGGGACAGAGACTGGAAAAATGGCTACAATTCATTGTTATTTGCAAGAAAAGGTTAGAAATGAAGATGCAGTTGAGACTGTTTTGTATGGGCCATCAACACAAAACAAAATTGAGAGGTGGTGGCAAGAATTGTTAGAACGTATGGAGAGATTTTTTAAGGATCAATTAAAAGAGCTAGTAGAGAATGGGGACTATGACCCATCAAGTGAAAATGACAGGTAGATCATCCATATGAACTTAGATTCACAAAGATACAAAGAACAAATCTAAATATTATATATTTCAGGTCAATGCTTGCATACATCTACATACCAGTTGTCCAAAAAGAATTAAATACTTTCAAAGAAACAGTTTGGAATAACCACAGAGGCAGAAAACAACAAAATAAAGCTTTACCTGATGGGATTCCGAACCACATCTATGCATTTCCAGAGCAGTATGGGGGTGTTAAATGTGGTAATCCTACTGAAGTTGAAGATTTGCAAGAAGTTGCTGACGTGTCAAATATTTTAGATGGCACAGGTGACTATCTGGAACCAGAATTCCGTGCTAAATGTGAAAGGATCTTTCCTGAAGTCAATGAAATTGCACCTTCTGAAGCATCAGATGCATTTCTGACTTTAAAGCAGAACTTTGATGAAATAACTTGAACCCCTCCCCCACCCCTTAATTTTGTCCATACTACCAGTAGTTACATAAACAATAACATGAATTCATAAAGTTCTATGTGATGTCACTTGTCCAAAGATAACAAAGTGCAGAATCTGTTGCATTTGTGTTCTGAAAAGAATGTGTCAATTGCAATTGTCGACAAATTACCAGCACAAAAGTAGATGTTATTATCTGCATCAAAGAGCTGTTTGCTAGCAATTTCAGGATCACATAAAGTATACCCTACTCCTTGTAAATCTACAACTAGGAGTTGATTCCCTGACTTAACAAATGAATAATGGGCAAATGCTTCTGCTTTCTGTGAAATCTGGGTATCAATATCACCTTGCACTATGTCACCAGTGTTATTAATGTACTTGACAAACATTCCATCAATGAACTGCTCTACGGTCACAGACTCATTGTTAATCTTTGGAACTGGGCAAAGACGGTGGTAAATTACAACCAGCTTGAGACTCAGAATCACGGATGGTGATGGCATTACTGGTCTTTTTATTCTTGGATGGTTGAATTGCTGTTGATTCTGACCCATTTTCAACAAATCTAATATGAAGGAGTTTCCAATTTTTGATTTGACCAACATTTGTATATGACGGCCCCCTTTCACCAGCAAGAATATCGCATTGTTGCATTTCATCAATTTCAAAGTGATCTTGGCATGCTTTTTTAATATTTTCCATTGTTTTTTCTTTGTGTTCAAACGGGACCATTGTCAATGGACCAATCCTTGTATATTTTTGCGCTTTCCCTTCCACAGTAGCAGATAATCGCTGCACTGTTAAATATTCTATTTCGTCTTTTCTCTCCTTTTTCTCATTCTTCGGTTTGATAGCTTTTTCTCTATATCATCCCACTGTTTTCGTTTCGACATATTCAAATGCAAATTTTAATATTTGCATATAAATTTTAATATTTCCAAATAAAAAAACCCACGTTGGTTTGAAATGATGGATCAGTGGTAAACACTGGATGTAAAGCTTTGCATTACTTTTTACGCTAGCCTATTGCCTACACTTCATGTAATACATGAATATAAAGGTTACGTATGGCACGTCTGGGCCGATGGCACGCCTGGGCTACGGCGTTTTTTCCAAATCAATTTTTTTTTAATTTTTTAAAAATTTTTTAAACAAAAACAATCTGAAATCAAATTTAAAGAAAACGAATAAAAAAGAAAAACTGAAAATAAATTAAAAGAAAAGGGCAAAAATAAAAGAAAAATATTATTGACGAAATATTTTAAAGAACGAGGCATACAGTTAGTTTAAAGAAATCAGATTCTCAAGCTAGAGGTAGCTTTATTTTTTAGTGGATACGCGGATACGTGGATACGCAGTCGTTTAAGATTTTAAAGAGTGAGGCATACAGTTAGTTTAAAGAGATCAGATTCTCAAGCCAGAGGTAGCTTTATTTTTTAGTGGATACGCAGTCAGTTAATATTTTAAAGAACAATGCATATGATAGTAAGGCATGATAAATACATGACGTAATATAAATGTAGGTATCAGTTTTTAAGTGGATACACAGTCATTTAATATTTTAAGAACGAATCATATGATAGTAAGGCAATACAAAATACACTAGGTTACCTGCAAGGTAGGGATTGCTGCGAGCACTTTAGGGTCAAAGTGAATTGTTATATGAAATGTTAGTAAACTAAATCCGTTTTAACTAATGGCAATAGCAGGTTTAAAACACGTAAAGCGAACCTCTATTGAGCGTTAACTCGCTGGGGCTGTACATTAATTAATACCTGTTAGCGAGAACACTGTCAATGACGTCAATATGTAGGTCAATATATGCTATATTAAGTTCTAACTTTTATCTCGAAATTGTTTTGAAATAGGCTTGTTTATACTTATGATTTCGTGAGTAAATTTGCTATAAAGAAAAGATTTATAAATGTTCAATTGCCCAAAGGATTTGTAGATTGCACTTGGCAAAAACGAATCGTCTGAAAATAGTCATTTTACAGTGTCATGAATACCAATTTCCCCGGTGTTGGATAGACCCGGGAGTGTTTTTCTCGCTTTCAAAGGGTAAAGGCGAGAACGCTGTCTTGCGAGTTACAACTCGTTGAAGTCAAAATTTTTGGAAGCAGCTAGTTTTAAAAATATTTTAACATACGAAGCACAACAGGAGTATTAACAATAATAGTAATATTGGGTAGAATTTTGCACGCGTAGCGACATTTTCCCCGCAACAAAGTTGAAAGTATTGTACTTTTCAGTTTCCGCGCGGAAAATATTGTTTGGGCACGCAAAATTTCACCTAGCGAAAATACAGGCCCTGAGCAGTAGCACATGTTTAACAAAATAGAACATTCTTTGGTAACATGGATATTTGTTTTTGAAATATGCTATTTGTCTTTGTTGTAAGAGTCCATGTAAATGTTTGGCTTCATGTGAAGAGTGGCAAAACATCACTTAATACTTTGAACTTTGAACCCGCTCGAGAAGACATGTAATCAGAAACCACGTGAAGATCTGGTAAAAGCACTAAATAACCAAAACATTCAGCTCATTGTAAAATAAGAATAAAAACATATGCCTATGCTTACAGTAACCTAATATAAAATAAGTCAAGCATTGCACGAACTGAATCTGAGTGATTCAGTCAGCCAATTTAGACAATCAATTCAATTGCATATTTTATCTGCGACTGTGTCATGTTATTAAACACGACTCGCAAGCGTCAAGCCGCATACTTGAAACATCATTTGATGCAAAATATGGAAATCAGCAAAAGAATACAAATATCAATGGATAAAAAAGACCTTAAGGCATCTGTATGTAAGACTTGATTTGCTTCACAGCACTGACAGCTCAACTGCTAAGGAAAGCGAATTAGCAAATTGGATAGTACATCTTAATATTCTAGAAGAATTTATGTAGTCCTTATATATACAGCATGAATCTAGCTGTGATAGATTGTATGCTTTTAGCGTTTCATAAATATACAAGTTAAAATTGTAACAACTGTAAACGTAACATATGAACGAAAGATGAAAATATCTTACCTTGAATAGTCAAAATAGAACAGAAGCTTTAAAATTTAACAAAAATTTGAAGATCCTGTCCATCCAAATCAAAAAGCACATGGATATGAGCGAGTTTAAAATTTGTGTTCTACGCATAGAAAACGCGCACGACCACAATTGCTTGCGCTAAATAAAATTTAGTTCAGAACCCCCTCTCTGCACAAATTAGACTGCTGCTATGCTCGCTCGCTTCAGGCTCGCTCGCTCCGCAGCAATGACGTAATTTAAATGAAGGTATTAGTTTAAGTGCAGGTGATGTGTGCTATACGACCCCAAAGCATGCTGGTTATTTTGTGTTCTTTAATTTTGTATTCATTTGCATATGACGCTGGTCAAGTGTATATCTGCAGGGCAATCTTCTTTGATATTTTTATATTAAAACCAAATCAAGTCAAATTTATAAATATTTAATGGGGATCAATTGTCTTTTCTCCTATTTGAAGACCTATTCAAAGGAGGTAAATGTCAAGGCAGCGACTTTTACCAGCAAACGGGCTGCAGTAGATGGCTCTTGCTGGATTCACAAAGGTTTAGCATCGTTGGTGTCTCGGACAGGAGGGCAAGAAAGGTAAAAAAACCCAACAACTGTCATTATTGAATGTGTTTGTCTTCTCTTCGTCTTCAAGACTGATATATACACTTTTAATCTAGGTTTTCCTACACATTTAAAAGCTACCTACAGCTACTCATCTCTTCTAAGATCACCCCTTTTGTAGTTTTCGATGGAAAGCCACTTCAAGCCAAAGAAAAGGAAAACATCCGAAGACAAAGGTGATAAACCTGGTGATAAACAAACTAAACATAATTTATACAGCGTGTTTACCCTGTAATAGAATCGTAAATGTCGAGTTTTGATTTTTGTACTATATAGGCAGAGACATGAACAGTTGATGAAAGCCAGTGCAAAAACAATAGACGAAGAAAGAGACAAGGCGCTAAGCCGAAGTGTAGAGATGAATTACAATGATGTGGTCGAGTGTGTGAAGGTCTGTAGTTTACTTTGTTAAATACCATTAAATGTCCAACTCTAATAGTCAGTAGTGTAAAAAAATCGTTGTTTACATCGTACTAGTATTTTGTCATCCGCATGCAACAATAAACTTGTGTCTCAGCCCACATGCACATTTAATGTTTGGTTTAAGCTTCTGGTTCAACAAAATTTCAAGTCAGTAGGGTTAAAAGATAAAATTTGGCTGTATTTTGAAATTCAGCAATCTAAAATTGTTATATTAAATTGTATGGGAAAATAATGAGATGAGCAGGCACTTATTATTAATACAGTAATGTTCCTCAGTTTCATTGATACTTTTAAATTTGCAAGCTACAAACCTAAAATGTTTTGTCTACATAGTTTTGGATACTCTTTCCAAACTATAGGCTGACTTAACTTATCATTTTTTACATGTAAATTGAACTACAAGACAATCTAGAATTTCTTGATGCTTGTGGTTGTGTAGAAATATATATTATACAACTTTCCATAATTTACCACATGCATTTTGTTTTCACTATTACAGGTGCAGAGTCTTCTAAAAGTAGAAAGACTCGACCTGACCACTCAAGTAAAAATAAAGATATTGACATCGTGCTGAGAAGAGACGAATCTGGCCAGCGAATATATCACAACCCAAGACGATTGTCGCAATTAGCCTTTCTCACGATGACGAATATGCCGCCATTTTTGGGGTACTTTTTTCAAAAACCGTGAGCGTAAGACTTGGTAAAGGCGACTGTCTTTAATTTAAGGCTGAATTTATTCTTCTAATGGTCTGTTTATTCTAAAAAAGTTGCTTTTGATGTTTAAACATAATTTTTAAACCCATTTCAGAAAATTGAAAGTACCCCAAAATGTCATCGTGAGAAAGGCTAATCTAGTTGGGCAAGACGAGGTAAACGTGGAAATGTCAATAAAGTTTTTGTGTTGTGGAGTTTTGTAGGTTATTTAAGCTTTGACTTTTACTGTTTTACACCACTTATTAATAGGCAGCAATATCACTGCAAACAAGGAAGGATTTGTCGAGACAGACTTTGTGAACGAAAGCAATCCAGAGTCAGGTAAACACTTCAATCACAGTTCATGTGTTATGCAGTTATATATTCTAACTGTATATTCTCATATTAGAAGGTAGATCGAACCATACAAATTTTTGATAACCTTTTCCAAGCCTGCATGTTCCATCTGCTTTGCTGGAATCCAGGCTGTAAATACGTCCAAATATTCGCCCAATAAAATGATGTATGAATTTTATTTTACAAGTATAATGGTTTTACTGTTTAGTTTTGGACTACAACTACCATAATTAGTCTTGCACTACAGTCAAATCATTATACTAAAATCAGCCTCAAATCAGTTATAAAATTACAGTGGGTTAGGGTGGTATTGCCTTAAATAAATAATAAACAAACATATATATGGCTAATCTCATTATTACCTTAAGTTATTAAAGCATATTGGAACTAGAGAGTGAGGTTAGAAATATCATTACAAATTAGCCTATGTATAAACATAATGTGGGTATGCGATTGTAGGATGTGGTTTAATGGGTTTTTGTGGTCTACCTTAAGATATTAATTTTCCTAGGTAATATAGTTGCGATTTTATTTAAATAGACAAGCATGCAAGTTTTAAATCACTTTAATGTATAGCTTTTATAACTAAATAGTGGAATACGCAAGATTGAACGAACCTGTTGATCTCTTAACTGACAAAGCAGATGAACATTCTGAAACTTTTGAGCAAGGTACAGGTAAAATTAATTTTGGATCTACCATGTTAAATAACCTAGAGTGTTCCATGTTTGAAGGTACTGTACAGTAACAGTATGTGACCTACAAAAACATTTCAACTGGAATTAATTGTAAATGGTATATGTATTATTTTATAGACCTTGATGCAATCATTGAACAGTGTGAGGAAGCTGTTGGGAAATGAATGATAATACCACTGTGTGGCAAAAACGAATAAACAATCTTGAGGAAAACTGGGAGAATGCTAGAGGAGCCATATTTCACAGTGTTTTGTGTTCATTTGCCCCTCCCACTTCCTCATTACATTGCTCTAAAATTGATTGCCCCAATGATGCACAATTGAGGTGTAAGCAGTGTGGTGTTTTTCAATATTTATGTGTCAACTGTGATGAAGAAGTACATCAGTGTCAGCCTCTTCATGATCGTGAAGTTTGGATTAATGGGTATTTTCAATACATTCTTCCAACTGAGTCAATAACTGATGATGGAAAGCTTGTTCCTGTTGGTATGTGTCAATAATTATTTTCAATTAATAATTTTTTAAAGGCAATGTACCGTGCAATATGGTTGCAAACTGTTTACAAGCAACTGTCTATAAAATAACTTAAAAGGATATGAGGTATACAGGAATCTGCACTTCCAAATTTGAATGAGAAGTTTGGAATTCAGAGGCTTTTATTTATAATGGAAGGACCTAAGGGATAAGCTGTAATTTTCTTACTATATTTAAGGTCGTGCATGTCCTCTTCTTTACCCAACATCTTGCTTGGTGTGCGGGGAATCTACTTTGAAAACATTGAACAGCTCAAAAGTTATACTCATCACATCTGAAGGTATTGTATTTTAACGCTATCAAAAATTGAACCTAGTCATAAGTTTATTACAAAATAATGCCGTACATGTTAGTGCCAATTCTTTTTGTTATTTTTTTTATTTCTGTGCTGATGTTTATAGTATACAGTAGAGTGTATATTAAGATAATTAATATAATGTAATTATACATTCACAGTCAATCATTAACAGTATATGCTAAGATTGAGTATAAGTAAACGGTTAAAGTTAATGGATTTTTTTCATATTTAAGGTCGTTTTGACCTCAATTGGTTTAACATACACTGTTAATCATGTCCTTGGCAATGGTCACCAATTTCGTTTGACTGTATAGTTCAAAGTGGTTTTTGGCCAGGAAGTCCTGCCAATGTAAACTACTTGTTTCATCAAGAGCTGTTCCTTCTTTGGGATGCCTTCCGGAAGCAAATGCCAGGCTCCTCACAAACTGCTTTTATAAGAAGCTTGGAAGACATGTCTCGTTCCAAAAAAAGGGTGAGTGCTGTATATAATGGCAGTTATGAATGTATTAGAAATAGCCTGAGCACACTAAAAGATGATAATCATACAAATTCAATGGGGTACATATAAAATATGTTGGATGGTATTTAATTAGCACTCAGTAGGGTCAGAGCATACAAATGTCTTTTTTCTTTGTATTAAAGGCAGATGTAATAACTGCAGCAACATTTAGGAAGGCCTTTGCAGAGTGGTGCTATTGTCAATTTGAACTGGCTTCGCTACAACTTCAGGATTGGAGAAAATGCCCACCATGCAGTGTTGACCAACACTCTTGTCATATTGATGGCAACCACAAGGTTTATAGATATGATAAAGTATCAAGGTACCACACCCTAATAGTTCATGTACTTGTGTGATTTATATTTTCCTAACATGACATTTGTAAGACTACATACATTATAAAACTAACTGGCTATATGTCACCCAGGAAATTTGAATATTTAGGGGTACAAGTCCTTCTTATTACAATGACCATCTGATTGTCGAAAATGCGAAAGTAGATTCTCACATAAGAAGCTTGAATTCCAAAATCACGAAGAAAGATATGGTAAGGTTACAGTATAAAATACTGGTCGTTGGCCGATATTTTTGTTCTTTTTCGTTCTTCACATAGGTAAATTTAGGTGGAATCTTTTTTTGTTTAGAAAGAAGATAGTTCTTGTGGTGATACGCATTGGAAAGCTGCAAAAGCTGTGTCGAAAGCGAAGAAGAACCAAGATGAAACTGGATTGGTAGTGGCTGGCTGCAGACATTCTGTTTGTCAAGCCGCCTTGAATATGTTTAGAGGAGAAGTTTATGGTTATGCTCACTATCTACATTTAAACTTTGTTCATCCAAACAATGTTAGGTTCTTGTGGGAGATGTGATATGTAAGTACTGGCCATGGGCTAAGCGAGTCACTTCAGAGCAAAACAAGATGGCATTAACTGATACAAAACCAGCCTTGTCACTCATGCATGGAAAATCGCACAGTTGGAACTGTCAGGTATTTTTACTAGGTCTAAATTATTCGTTCTGGTCTTTATTGGTTTGAAACGTTTAAAATTTCTCTTTCAATTTGGCAAGAGTTTTTTTGGACAGAACGTCAATATAAATTTTGGGGCATGACATAATGTGTAGCAAATTTTCATTGCATTTAACATAGGTTATTTGGAGTGGAAGATGGCAAGAAGGTGCTGCTGCAACTCCTGGGGAGGAAGTTGAACAAATCAACAGCTATCTCTCCAGACTTGGATCCACCACCAAGAATATGATAGCATCAGGTTAATATAGTATATAATTGTGCATCACTGCATCTTAATGGAGATGAACGGTATACATTGACATTCCATACATTCCTTTTACAGGTCGCGAGGATTGCATCACTGAGCATCTATTGAGTTGGAATAAGCGAAAAATTTGTAATCTACCTAAGCTGTTGGTTCTTCGCCTGAAAAAGGTTAATTACAGTATATATTTTCGCTTTAAATGCGAGGTGGTGTAAAACGTGCTCGTTGCATACTTGAGCTTATGCGTTTTCTTTTCAGCATTCGTTTAGTCTTTCTTTCAATGCCTTTCTGTAGACGGAAAAGAAACTCGCCGATGCGAAAACGGAACTTGCTACGTATGCACGTGAGATTAATTTATCAGACGCTGATTTGGATGCCTCAGTTGTGTCATGGAAAAGAGATGTTCAGCAGTTTGCTACTGGTACGACTAATGATTGATCGTGTTAAATTATATACTGTACCGTACGAATTGATAAAATGTATATACTTTATGGATTTCACGTCTTTAGAACAAAAAGCAGGAAAAAATGTTGACGTTGGGGATTTAGGAGAATTCTACCTTTTACATCATGTGGTACAAAATGCTCAACAACTAAATACGTTTGTAAGTAGGAACGATGACCAGACGCGGATTTTAATCGGGGATAAAGAATTTCACCAACTTGCTGCAGATAAAACAAAGCAGTTGAATAAGAACATGGAAAGATTGCGTGTTTTGTCGTCCGAGCTTTTGAATTCCACTGTAACAGAGGAGGAGCTTCTAGCTCGGGGGAAGGTTGAACTTGCGAAAGTAACATTGTCCAGGTTGCAGAGAAAATTGGAGATGCTGTACTTTTCCATTACGAGGCGGATGAAGGAGATTTCGGCGCTTGCTGGTTGGTGTATATAACAATTTTATTGTTACTTTAATATAATATGTTTATCTCGGTCACTCACATCGTTAGGAGTTAATAACTAGGTCCGCGTACTTTATTTTATTTGGTTAAATAAAGGCTTTCTTTTAGATTCTAGTAAAAGGAGATCATCTATGCGAGCAAAATGCTCAAGGGAAAAAACAGAAATAGCATCCACAGTAGAAGAGTTAAACTCAGTTAACAGCCTTCTGAAACTGCCTGCAACAAGTGCTGAGGTTATTCTTGCGGGAGATTTTCTTTGGTCGTTTAGTGAGGAACCAGCAACTACGAAAAGTATAGCGAATTTACTAGTGTTCATGGCTACATTTTTATCGAAAGAATAGAATTTTTTCTTAATCTCTATATAAATTGATTTAGACTTTTTGCTATACTATAGGTCTTCCTGTACGCTACAAAGCACAAGTAGTAGAAAAGTTCACGCTGGTTCAAAGGCTAAAAGAAGAAGAGGATCAAATAAGAAAAGAAATGAAGAACTTCCTCGTGTTCTATTTAAAGAATATTTTGGACAACCTTCATCAAAGAAAAGCTGTCATTAATGAGCGGATAGGTATAATTATCAGATATTTTCCGAACTTTTGCAATAGCTGTTATTGTATAAAGTCTTGACAATAAACTTGCTAGAAATTGCTAGAAATCTATTTTTGATTCCTTCATTGATTTTTTTTCCAATGGTCTTTGCAAAGCACTGTTTTCACCTGAATTTGTATTTTTAGCTTTTATTCACGACGTCAATGAACCTGATGACAAATATCAAAATGAAAATGAGGTATAACAATGTATTAATATGTGTGCACCATAATGGCATGTAGTCTTCTGAGGTTTAGTGTTAGTCTCCAATTTTTTTCGTATTTTACATTTTCTGTTGTTGTAGAACTTATTGGGTGATAGGAAGTGTTATTCCTTGCGTTGCGAAAGAATCGAGACATTGCAGGGTCAACTTGCTATTACTAACAAAGGAATAGCTTTTGCCAAAAGCCAGATTGCAGTTGGTTTGAAATATTTTCGACATCTAGATACTTCTCTGGCATGCCTGGAAGAAATTGATGATAAATGCGATGATGATGATGAATATTACAATGAAAGTGAAGAAGATTGGTCAAGTGACGACAATAATGAATTAGAATAATTTTAGTTTTAAAGAGTTTTTGAAATTGAAGTTCAGATACCTTATTCATAATATCATATATTATACGAAAAATAAATAGTAATAAAACTCTAAATACAACATCTATATATGACAATTCCTTTTTCTCTTAGAAGAATTAAAAGCATTTCATTTTTGCTATTTTCTTAGTTGCCAAAGCTCTTGCAGTTATGAACCAAAGCGATGTATAAAAGAACTTGGGGGTGTTCAGATCAGGATCATGATCCCAGATCTTAACAGACCGACAAGAAAAAGTTTCTATATAGACTCCAACCAATAAATGCCAAACTGTGTCTGGTAGAACGAAATGTCAAGCTGTCTGTTTGACTTTCCAGTTGGTTCAATTCCAACTCGCAGTTCTGTAATTAAGCGTAATTTAATATTAGGAATGCAGTATCGTTGTTTTGTGATGATGACTTAAATCAGTAGAACATTTTTTTAAAAAAATTACAGACTTTACGTGCAGTGCAGTCACTTGTAGGAAAGATTTTTTAGGCGTCCATCAATCGATAGTCTCGCAATATACTCCTTCATAAACCTAATACAATATACACTTAATGTATGCTCCGGAGGGAAATAACGAGTTTTGTTTTCCCAAGAGTCTGAATGTCGAGGGAAACATTTAGACTCGAGGGAAAACAAAACTCACTATTTCCCGAGGTGTAGCGAACATTAAGTGTTTTGTTATATAGGAACAAAAACATACATCTTACACGACAATTTCATTTCAAAATGTTATGACAATATGCGGGCACCAATTTTTCACTTGTTTGGGAAACATTACATTTATTTAAAGTCATGTGACTACGAATGAACCAATCACATTTAAAATATACAGCACCTATATAACAATTGTTTTTGTATATATCTGTTATATGTATTGCATTTCGTCCTTCCTCGTGACGAGCGAAAGGAACACATTCTTGCATAAACCTGGCAAAAGTATATAGTTAATGAGCTGTAGTGTACTTCTGAAAGGTTCGCTGAGAAATATCGGATAAACAAGCACATTTGTTTGTAGTATAATTTTCGTATACCGTATATTTTGAAAGTTGCCATGACCTTCAAACGAGTTTACCTACATAATAAATTCAGATTCTGAAAAAGGAAGCAGCAAAATCGTTTCATTAAAATTTTACTAAAATTTAGAAATTAGAAATTTGAAGAAATTCCGCAATAGAAATTAGGCTAGACTTCAAATGCAGAGATTTTAAAAATATTTCATTCTTCATTAATCATTCTTATGGCCTAAGGAAATAGAACATGTTTTGCATGAAATAAGAATCAGAGTCTCTAGAGAAATTTTCTCAAAATAATAAAAAGTTTTCGAGAAAACGTTTCTCAACAAAATTTTCTTGTCAAGTATTCCTTAGGAAACTTTTTCTAGTTGATTATTAGCCTTCACGAATGACGTTTTTGGGTACTTTCAATTTTCTCAAATGTGTTTAAAAAATAATACCAACATGAAAAGCATTTTTTTTAAAATCAACAGACCATTTGAAGAATAACTCCAGCCTAAAATTAAAGACAGTCGTCGTTACGAAGTCATACACTCACGGTTGCTAAAAAGAACCCCAAAAATAGCGGCATATTCGTCATCGTGAGAAAGCTAGGCTAATTGCACAGAACAAAATCGATCCTACAGTAACATTACGCCTACGTGTATTAAAGATTCTTCGTTGAACTTCTACGTAACTTCAACTAGTGAGCACGTTGTTCGTCTTTCATACTGGTCAAGGCTCTAGGGTTAGGGTTAGGGTATTAGGATTATGGTGACACTAACTATATTTGGTAGGTTAGTTGTTGTAATTTTGATGTTTACTATTATTTACATTTATTCCATTATCTATGTTTCAGTATTGTTAACCTTTTTATTGGATCACGAGAACCACAAAACGTAAACTTGTTTAAAATTGAAGGGTTATTCTTAAATTTCTCCTTTCTAAATACCGATGTAATGTTCAGGTGTAGTGTAAGTGATTTTGTATTGACTGAGTATATATGTTTTATTTAACGGTTTTGGATACTAACTATAAAATTTCGCTTTAATGTTCACTTTGCGATATATAAAGAAAGTACTAAAAACTCAATTACGAAAGCAACACATGATATTTTTTATGGGAAGGAACATATAGCATTTTGAAGCGGCATGTTTTTAACACCCGAATCACCTCGACTTTTTCAAATTTTTATTTCTTTTGATCCTTTTGGATTGGCTATGGACGTGAGGATCCTTATATATGTATGTCCCATTTGTTTTTAATTTTGGCGATGTGAAATAATGATCTTTCTATATGATAAAAGTAACACGAAAATTTCAAATTAATCATTGCAATCCATAATATAGCTTGATACCGCACGTTTTTGTTGAACACCCGAATCACCTTTTTTTTTCGTTAAAAGGTATCGAAACTTTAACACTAATTATGCACTCACTATGGTATTACCTATATAGTTTGTAATACCAATATTGGCAAGTTAACATAGTTGCCAAGTCTCACGGATTAGGCGTGAGACTCACGTATATTTGCGTAAAAAACGATCTCATGCCGGAAAATCAAGACAGTCTGAGATCTCACAGATTTCGTCTATTGTTGTTAGGGTATTGTCCTTAAAAGTTAAGAAATTAATAATAAAATTTTAAATCAGTCCGTACACATAGTCAAATTAAGATTAGTCAAAGTTCAAATAAAAAATTTCTTGTTACAAATTGTTTTTTCGAAACAATGTCAAATTTCGGGAAACTTCGGGAAAATTACATTAATTTCATATGTTTGCGGGATATAGGGACTAAATTGTCTTCAGCGAACAAAAGTAAAAACGAGGTAATCATGGTATTATGTAAGAAAATTTTAGATATTCACGAGAAATTGCTGGCATATTCTTGTAAAACAGTCTTCATTAAACTCCTATGTCTATATGCATGGTTGTAATACCAAAGTAACCAAATTCTTCCTTTTGCTAAAGTAACGAAAAATAATCAAAAATATCCTTTTTCCTCATTCTTTTTAACCTAAAACGTTATTTTGGTAAATATTTTTAATAATAATAATTATTATAATAACAACAATAATAGAATTCAATTATAGAACTGTGAGTTGGAATTGAACCAACTGGAAAGTCACTCATGCAGATAGCTGACATTTCCTTCAACCATGCACAGTTTATTTTAGTTTTATTTTCATTTTGTTTATCGATATAAAAAGTTAAGATTATGTATAGAAGCAGTAGCATAGACGATAAATATAAAAAATTGTTGTTTTGAAATATAAAAAAAATTGTTATATTGAAATTGTTGTTTCATAGCTTTTAAAAATTATGTTTTTATGGAGTTTTCGCAAATTATCTGCCGAAACAAAGTTGAACAGGAATTTCAACATCGCTTATTCAGGAACTTATACATTAAACATAAACTATATAAATAAAAACCATGTCATATGGTTTATGTAATAATTTAAAACAGGAGTAGCATTGTTCTATAATATATAGAAGGAAAAAACACAATGTATGAGTCGGTTATTTTATACTTTATATGCATTTTAAAACCATTATCACGTTGCATCCTTGGAACGTCTATATATATACTTCCAATTCAACTTCCACGTGGTTATAGCTAGTGTTATAAGCGTGCATAGATGAAGGCGTACGTAAGTACTTTTCGCATCTCATATATATTGTCACAACATTCCCCAATTGTATATAAGTTAAGAAATTACACATTTTATAACGTTTTGCTTGTGGGCCACCCCGAAATAGTTTTTTTTCACAGTTGTTTGAGATATATAATAGCTAAGTTTATTAAATTTGGAATACAAAATCAAATAATATAAAGGTTAAGGCTTGGAATGCATTCTCAATAGTGGCCAAGCATGAAATTCGCCAACTTCAACCTTGCTGGTATCAAAAGAACTAGGACACGGGGGGGATAACCATCCCTTCCACCAAAGATGTTATTACAACTGACAAATGGCCTGGTGGGACTGCAACATT